TATTAAGATAGACAGTACTTTGAATTCTTCTCTATAACTTTCATGTACCCTGGCCAACACAAAAGGATTTTATTTTCTATGGGGAATGATTATAGGTTTCCTTCTGGGGATTTAATTCTTAAGAATGGGCTCAGTATGCAAAAGCTGTCACCTAGTGCAAAAGTTTCCATCTCTGAACAGATAGAAGCTGAAATCCCTTGAAGCACTATTATTAAATCACTTTTCTTCTCCCAAGTGTGAGATGTATGAATACATTTTCTCCTTTAATTTAGTTTAAACAAAGGAATGCTGGAATAGCCACCCACAGGTGTCTTCTGGGTATAAAGCACTGAATAGAAACTCAGATGCACAGCAGGCAGCTTGTCATTTAAAGGAACCAAGCCAAGCACTATTGTCAGGAGCACAGGATGTCAGAGCTGGATGGGACCCTAGAACTTAAGATGTCCAATTGTTAAACTGATCTCCACTCAGTTAATTCCAAAGGTCTTTTCTCATCTTCATAGTCCTTGACACCTTCTGACTCTCCTGACCACCTCCTCCTCCCTGATCCTATCTCATGACATTATGCTCTCCTGGTTCTCCTCCTAACTGCTTAGATGATTCTTCTCAGTCACCTTTGCTGGATCTTCATCTCCCATCCCAAAGTCCTCTTTGTGGTATTCAATTGTTTTCAATTGTGTAGGACTCTCTGTGACCCCATTTGAGGTTTTCTTGGCAGAGATACTGGAGTGGTTTGCCATTTCCTTCTCCTGCTCATTTTACAGATGAGAAAAATGAGACAAACAGGGTTAAGTAAGTTGCCTAGGGTCACACAGCTAGCAAGCGTCTGAGGCTGCATTTGAACATAGGTCCTCCAGACTTCAGGAATCTTTCTTCTTGGATATCTTGTAGGCATCGTACATTCAACTTGTCTAAAATGGAATTAATTATCTTTCCCCTACTAATTCTCCCCTCCAACAAATTTCCCTTTTCCCACTGAGGGTAACACTCTCTTTCTAGCAACACTAGTTCAGAACCTTGGAGACAGCATCGACTTTTTCCTCTACCTCACCCACCACATTCCATCAATTGCCAAATCTTAATTTCTCTTTCTGTATTGATGAGTGTTTTGTGCCTTAGTATAAAGATTAACCTTTGCAAAGGTACTATGCAATACCGAAGAACAAATATACTCCATTTAGTAATTATGCAAAGTCTAGGATATTTTTTTTTCAGTTGATTCTACCACTACAACAACTCTGGCATCTGTCTGTTTGCTCTTCCCACATAGCCACCATCCTACTTAAGGCTCTCATCACTATTCTCCTTTGACTGTTGTAATAGCCTTCTAGTTGGTCTTCCTGCTTACATTTCCCCTCTCCATTGCACTCTTTACATAGTTGCAAAATAAAACCCCCCCAAAACGTTCACAGGGCACAGTCTGAAAGCTTTGAGTTGCTTCCTACTGCCTGTGAGATAAGTAAAAACTCCTCAGCCTTCCACAAGCTGGCTCCCACCTCTATTGCTAGCCTTATTTCACATGAATTCCACTCACAAACTCCTTGTTCCAGTCAAATTGGCCTATTAGTTAGCTAGCGTCATCCCCTCTTGTAGAGCTTCCTTGGGAGCAGAGATGACTCATTAGGTCCGTGTCAGGCCTTTCTTCATTGGCACATGCCATCTCCTCAGGCCTAGAAATCCCTCCTGCTCACAGTGCTTCCCAATTCCTTAGCTTCATTCAAAGTTCTGCTTTGGGGGTCACCTTCTCTGTGAAGTCTTCTTTAATTCTCTCCAGGGAGGGCTTTCTTTCTTCCAATTACTTTGTCTTTACTTGTCTGTGTGCATTATATCTATCATACCCCTCCCCACCATAGGAGAATGTAAGTTCATTGAGGGGGGATAGACTACTTCATTTTTGCCACTGAACGTCTGAAGAACCTAGCACAGTGCCTTACACATAGTAGGTATTTAATAAATGTCAGCTAAATCAAATTAAACATTGACCATTAGAGTTTGAGGGATCTTAGAATAAGGAACAAGAAAAGACTTTAGAGATCTAGGGGTTCTTAGATTAGGGTTCTTAGATCTAGATTCTTAGACTGAATCAAACTTCCTAGAACAAATCCCCTTAATAAAAGGATTCGTTCCATAAAACTTGGACTCAATTAAAAGGCCACACCCAAGGACCTAGAAGGTCACAAGTGGCCTCAAGGCTGCAGGTTCCCCACCCCTCCAATGGATTCATTTTTAGGTAAAGAAATTATGTGTGAGTGTGTGTGTGTGTGTGTGTGTGTGTGTGTGTGTGTGTGTGTGTGGTTTGTCCTACACTCTCAAAGAGGACCATGACATCAGGGAGATGATGATGTGACTTGCAACTGACTTTGATTTGGGTGAGGGAGCGCTGTGCAAAATCACTTTCTCCTCCAGAGCCATCTGGGTCTAGTGGCCAGATATTGATCAGGATGACAGAAAAGGAGATATGTCCAAGGTCAAGTGGAAGAGGTCAGTGAAAAAGTCAGAACATAGGTGTGCTTGGCCTACTCTGTTAAATAAAATCAGCGTAGTGTGTGTTTTAGGGTAGGAGAAGTAGGTTAATAGGTAACTTAAAGACAGAAAAGCTACTCAAAAATCCAATTCTAATACTATATTTTCAGTCAAGCAAGTATTAGTTAACAGATGACATAAAAGTTGGGAGTAGAAAGGGAGTAGTCCTGAAATTATATCTGGGTCCTTTTCTTCATCATGAATAGATACCTGTTTTTTTTTTTTTTTTGGGAAATAGTCCAAACACACTGTAGTTTATAAATATAATGAAATACCATTGTACTATTAGAAGGAAGGCAACATGAATTTATGCTAGCAACTGTGCTAAGCTCTTTATATATATCATCTCATTTGATCCTCTAAACAGTCATGGGAAGAAGACGTTATCATGGCGCAGTAGATAGCGTGCTGGGTTGGAAGTCAGGAAGACTCATCTTTCTGAGTTCAAATCTAGTCTGAGACACTTAATAGCTATGTGAACATGAGCAAGTCACTTAACCCTGTTTACCTGAGTTTCCTCTTCTGTAAAATGAGCTGGAGAAGGAAATGGGAAACTACTCCAGTATCTTTGACAAGAAAACACCAGATGGAGTCATAAAGAGTTGGACATGACTGAATAACAAAAGACGATATTATTATTCCCATTTTATAGTTGAGGAAACTGAGGCAGAGAGCAGTTAAGTGACTTGCCAAAGGTCACACTGCCAGTAAATGACTGAGGCAGGATTTGAACTTAGGTCTTCCTGACTCTAGGCCCAGTGCTTATCCACCATGCCAGCTAGCTGTCTAGAAATAACATATGTGAGGAATTCAGAGAAGTAAGAACTGATAAAGTAAGTTTAGCCAGGAGAGTACTATACACAGTGGTAAAACTAATATAAGCAAAAATACTACTGAAAGTCTGTAGAATTTTGATTAATTATAATGACCAATCTTGGTTCATGAGGAGAAATGATGAGTCAAAAGACATATTTTCCTTCTCTCTGTAGAGAAGCAGAGGACTCTGGGTATAGAATGTGGCATATGCTATCAGACACAGTTTCCAGGTCAACTGATTTGCTCATTAGAAGAGGTGGTTCAGTTGTGATGACAGTTATACTGGGAAGAAACTATAGTATTAAAATGGAAATCTTTTTAAAAAGTTTTTTTTAAAAGATAGGCTATAATTAATTTCCTGCTAAACTCTAAGGCTAAATAAAAGTTTAACATTTGAAAAAACCCAACTATGTTGCTTCTTGCTATTCACATAAAGGTAATTTCTGCTTTAGAAATAAATAAATTAGTTAATTAATGGCTGCTGAATGAAACCAAAAAAGATCAGGTCAGCCTTTTTTCTCTTTTTGGACACACTAAACTGATAGATTCAGGGACGGATGTAGCCAAAATCACCTAGATTTTGGGAATTTAACAAAAGTCCATCATGCTATTCTGGTGAATGAGATGAAGAGATAAGGAACAGACAACAGTAGAGTTAAGTGGAATTCTTTATATGCCAGGGCAAATAGAGTTATACTTACTGGGTCAATATCAACCTGGAGGGTGGTCACTAGTGAAGGGTCTGAGGGATCCACCCTTGGCTTTGTTTGGTGGCTCAACACTTTTATCTGAGACTCAGCAGATGACATAGTTGGCATTCTTATCAAATTTGTGGAATGTATAAAGCAAGCAGGGATACCTGACACATTGGATGACAAAGTGTGGATCCTAAAATGATCTCAGTAGGCTAGAGCATTGGGCCAAATCATGGAAGACTGCTACACCTGGAACCCACCCAAGTCTCCAGGCTAAAATCACTGTTCAGTTGGAGGGGCAATGGAAAGGACAGATTATAAATTCATGTAAAAATAAAGGAAAAAGAAGAAAAAAAAAGCAGGCTTCTTTTGACTAGTTATTGGGGTTTTTTTTTGTATCCTCAGAGCCTAGCACAATGCCAGGCACGTAGTAGGTGCTTAATAAATGCTTTTGGATCAATGACTGATGTGCGGTTAAGGGATTTCACCCACATGCTGAATAATGTAATAAATCACATTTTTAGGTAACCTTAGGCCTATGTATTATAACCACTCTTATAATTTGGTTGGGGAGGAAAAAGGGCTACCTGTTGATATTGATGACTTCAGAAAGCTAAAAGAAAGACCTTTTTAGGACTGTGGGATTAATAACTGTAAGGGACATTAGAGATGCTGCACCTTCCCCCATTCCCCACCCTCCATTTGACATATGAGGAAACTGAGGCGCAATGAACAGGAAATGATCTATCCAAGGTCATACAGATAGTACTATATTAGCAGAGGCAAGATTCAAGCCCAGGTCCTTTTTGTCTCAAAAGCCAGTGTGACCAGTGGTGTCACAATAATATATAAGCAAAGAATGTTAGGATTAGAACTGGACATGACTGGTAGTAGACACCGGGTGTTCTCACTTTCCCTTCAGGGTTCCATCCCAATGCCTCCCCAACCCCTTGCCACTTATAATACCTTGTCTGGCCACAATTAGGCTGGCCATGCAGTCTGGCACACTTGTTCCCGCTGCTAGAAAAGTTATGCCCATGATAACATCAGGGATCCCAAATGTGTATCCGATAACAGTCACCTGCGGAAGAAGAACAAAACAAACTGAAATAACCATGGGACGTCTTGGGAAACGTTTTGTTTTGTCTTCAGTGAATGCAGAAAGAACACAGCAACTTCCTTCGTCGGGTACCCTCAAGGACAGGTAGAGTCAGAAAAGGGGTTAATCTAGTGTTGCGTTCTCTCCCGACTAATGCTCGGGTCTCTCCCCACTCTGGTCTCTCTTCCACCCAGCTGTCAAACTGCTGTGTCTGAAGCACAGGGCTGACCCCGTGGCTCCTGTAGCTCCCTACTGCTTCCAGGATCAAATATCAGATTCTCTACTTGGCCTTCAAAGCTCTTCATGACCCGGCCCCCACTATTCCAGTCTTCTCATGCCTCGCCTTCCTGCCATAGTCTATGATCCAGGAACACCTGGCCTCCTTATTGTTGCTCACACACAACACAACACAACATGACACAACAGAACACGACACAACACAACATGACACAACACAACACTGTATCTCCTGCCTCCAGGCATTTGCACTAGCTGTCCCCCATGCATGGAATTCTCTCTCTCTCTTCATTTCCACATCTCTGCCTCCTGGCTTGCCTGGATTCCTTCAAGTCTCAGCTAAGGTACCACCTTCTGCAAGAAGGAGAAGTCTTTCCTGATCCTCCTTAACCTTAGAATTAAGAAATCCTTGGAAATTATTTCCAATTTATTATGTACACAAATTGTCCTGTACATAGTTGTTTGCCTGCTGTCTCAGCTTAAATCAGTAAGCATTTATTAAGCACCTACTATGTACCAGGCACTGAGTAAAGCACTAGAAGACAGAAACGTTCTGATTGTGCGAGCTCCTTATGGGCAAGGAGGTGGTGTATTTGCCTTTCTTTGTAACTCCAGTGCTTAGTATGACTTGCGGTCAGAGTAGGGGCCAGAAGATGGAAGGCCTTCAGGTTCCTGGGTAGATCCTTTATGGAGGAATGATAAGGAGATATAGACAAGGATTGCAAAGGCTGGGAAGGTATGGAGGGGCTACCAGATGAAGTTGTGGTAGAAGGAAGGCAGCAGGGAAACAAGCATTTATTAAGTGTCTACTATGTTCCAGGTGCTTTACAAATACTATCTCATTTGATCCTCACCACAACCCTGGGAGGTAGGTATTATTATTATTATTATTATTATCCCTATTTTACAGTTGAGGAAACTGAGGCAAATGGGTGACTTGTCCAGGGTCACACAGTTACTAAGCGACTGAGCCCAGATTTGAACTCAGATCTTCCTGACTCCAGCTCTAGCCCTCTATCCACTGCACCTAGCATCTTCTCTGTAGTTTATAGTCTTAGTGAGTTGTTGCATTAATGAGAACTTAAGTGACTTGGGGTCTGGTGCTTGTTCTGGGCCACTTGCCTCAATGTAACAGCTAATAAATCATAAAGCATCCCTAAGTGTCAGGGTTTCTGTTTAATGGTACAAAAAACCCTAACCTTGCTTGCTTCCCAGGGTGGTTGTGAGGATCATGGGAAAAAATGAAGTGAAAGTGCTCTGGAAATGCTTAAGTCCTATGCAAATGTAGGGTAGTAGGAGGTGTGACTATTAATATCATTATTGTTGCATGTAGATGGATGGATGGATGGGATGTTGCTCAGAGGTGTGTGTCTGTGTGGGTACAAAGTGCCAAAAAGTGTGTAGGGCAAAAGTGGGGAGTCTGTGGCAGCTGTGCTTTTAGTTAAATAGGCAACCACCCTAAATATGAAAACTCCTACTTCTTTTCTCTCAGAGAAAAATCACTTACCATTGCCGTTTTAAACTTAGATTATGAGGTAGATACTCCCTGGCCTTTGGGATTTCAAATATTATTAAATATTATTGTTCATATTTAATGAAACATTGGATGTACCTCTCTGTATCACTAGTTATTCAAACCGGTTGAAGAATAATTTATTTTTAGAGAAAATTGTGAGAGAGGTGCTATTCATGATTTCATTAATTTTATTTTTCTAATGCTCACATTCAAACACTTCTATAGCAGTTTCAACAAATGATATTTCTTCTAATTTCTTTTGGGGAGGGTGCTTAAGCAAGAGCCAACTTATGCTGAAGGAAGGTAAATTGAATGAAATACTTATACATCTTTAAATAAAAAAGACAAGATTCTACCCTGCAGTCAGAAAAGTGCCACTGTTATGTGTGGCATTAACATGGACAGTCAAAATGCTTTTGACAGTGGTTTACATGATCAATTTGGCATTTTAGATGATGGCTTATCCTTTATATCCTTTGTACTTACCTGAATTTGGGAATCTATAGAGATTTTCACTATCATCAGAGCAGATGAGGAAACATTCTTTGCTATGATTGTTATGTAACTAAGGGTTGACCACAATGTAACTGGAATGAGAAAGGTAGGCAGGAGAAAAACAAAACCAAACCTAGCCTGGGTCCAAAAGATCCCTCTTTGGATAAACCAAAAACACTTACCTCCAACCTTGAGATTACCGGGAATTCAAGAAGATTACATGAAGGAGAGATAATAGAAGCCAGTTGCTAGACTTTTTTTGTCCATAGATGAGAAACATCTCTGGCACAGTGGATAGAGCACCGGGTCTGGAGTCAGGAGGACCTGAGTTCAAATCTGTCCTCAGATAATACTCATTAGCTGTGTGACTTCGGGCAAGTTACTTAACCCCAATTGCCCTCGCCCTCCAAAAAATATCTCTGGCTTTTGAACACTGGTAAGGGAGTGGGATGGGTTAGAGCAGGGGCGGGTGTGTGGACTGTTCCTGGGTGCTGAATGGCGCCCATAGTCTACATGAAGCACAAAAGGGAGGGCTTTGGAGAGGTGCCAAAGGTAGGTTCTGTTAACATATTATGATAGATGACAAGGAGTATACAGGACTAGGGCAGGGAAATGGGGGATTTATGACTGTCAATCAGGGAATAGGAGCACGCGGCATAATTCTTTGGCTAAAGTGGGAAATTAGAGAGTGCTGGATCTAAGGAAGACCTGAGTTCAGATCCAGCCTCAGACAGTTCCTGGATGTGTGGTCCTGAGCGAGTCATTTAACTTCTTCCTGCCTTAGTTTCCTTATTTGTATAATAATAGCACTTACCTCAGAGGATAATGAGGATAAAATGATTTAATGCACCTAAAGGACTTTGCAAACCTTAAAGAATTATATAAATGTTAGTTAACTTTAAATACTTTATTCTGAGAAAACACTAATAAATCTACCCTTCCCTGGACTTATTTGATTTAGGCTAGACTATAAGGTCTAAGAGGACAGGGACTCTTTCTTATTCATTTTTGTATCTCCCTCACTGCCTAGTCAAAGCTATGCTTTTTCCAGTAGCAATGTATGGCTGTGAGAGTTGGACGATAAGGAAAGCTGAGCACTGCAAAACTGACACTTTCAAATTATGGTGCTGGAGAGGACTTTTGGGAGTCCTTTGGATAGTGAGGCGATCAAAACAGTCGATACTTAAAGAAATTAATTCAGACTATTCACTGGAAGGTCAAATATTGAAGCTTAAACTCTTTGGCTACATAATGAAAAGATGGAACTCATTGGAAAAGATCCTGATGTTGGAAAAGATTAAAGGCAAATGGAAAAGGAGATGGCACAGGATGAGATGGATAGATAGTATCATGGAAACAATGGACATGAACTTGGACAGACTTTGGGAGATAGTGGAGGACAGGAGGGCCTGGCATGCTATGGTCCATAGGGTTACAAAGAGTGGGACAAGTCTGAATGACTGAATAACAACAACAATGCCTAGAAAGGAAAATATGGTAGGAGACATTTACTAAATGCTTGTTGAATTTAATTAGTTTAATGAGTTTGTTTTATTTCTTAACTCCTAGCTGAGATCACTGTCCTGAAAGTCTGGGAATTCTGGGACAACATGAATGGGGGACAAGGAAGGGTAGAGAGATGAGGTGGAGGCCCAAGGGATTTTTCAAGCCTGGGTTGGTGCTCATTGGAACACTTCGGGCATGGTGAAGTCAGAGAAGGGGAAAAATATCAAGGGTTCAGCAAGGGGGACAAGAAGAAAAAAACAAACTTTCCCAGTCATGGCCCAGGTCTAGGCACTGGGGGGATCAAGATGACCATTTTGGAGGCATCACTGTGGGCAGTAAGTAAGCATAAGAACAGCTTGAAGATGGAAGAAACACTGGGGAATACTGGTTGATGACTTAGCTGTTGTCCTAAAATTCTCCATGTTTGATGCCTTTTCTCGAGTCCTAATCTCTGGAAACCGGGCCTATTTTCTCTGATTCTTGTTACAATGGTCTTCTCCACATGTATTTTTTATTTATTTTTTTGGCTAGGCAATGGGGCTCAGTGACTGGCCCAGAGTCACACAGCTAGTAAGTGTCAAGGGTTTGAGACCAGATTTGAACTCAGGTCCTCCTGACTCCAGGGCCGGTATGCTATCCGATGCACCACCCTGGCTGCCCCCATATGTAGATTTTCTTGATGCTGGTTCTTGGCTCATATTGGCTGGCTTTCCTTCAGTGAACTAGGACTCATCAGTACCTGCTTGAGCTCCGCCTGAGGACAGAATTCCAGAAATGGCAGCTCCCCACTCTTACCCTCCCCACAGATATAGCATCGTTGCTTGATCAGCCTGTAGTCTCTAAACCCCACCATCGTGGAATGTTAGTTTCAACTGACCCTTGCTGGTCTGCCACACTCAAAACCAACAGTGGCCTCTCCCTTTTAGCCCAAGAAAATGATATTTTGGGAGTGACTATGGATCTGAAACTGGAAGACCCAAGCTGGAATTCTAGCTCTGCCACTTACTACTACTCACGTGGCCTCGAACAAGTCACAAACTTTCTGGGCCTCAGTTTCCTCAGCTGTAATATAAAAGGGTTGGACTAGATGATTTTGAAGGTCCCTTCCAGTCTAGATCAATCATCCTGTAATCCAGTCATTCACCTCATGGAATTTACATTTGAAAAGGAATTTAAGAGATCAACTAGTTTCAGAACTGTAACTAGGACAGAGTGGTCTCAGGGTGGATGAATTTAGAGGGGATGCTGATTGTACTCCTAGTCCTTTAAAAGCATAGAAATAGTTGAATTTGTCACCTGATGAGCAAGAATAATGAGGTAGAATAGGAAGTTATCAGAAAGTATCTTCTATTCTTCCTGATAATAGACACACCCTGGGTGAATTTTTCCTTGGCCCAATCTTCTCTTGCTTCTTCCCCACAGCAGCCTCCTCTGCAGGTGTTGTGGTATTCCAGGGACTTCATTGCCACGGGTTTGTTTTGGGTTGTTTATTCTAGGCACCCAAAAATTGCTAGTTCTTTCTCTCTGAACCACTTGTTTTAATGATGAAGAAACTGGGAGTCTGAGATACAAAGTGACAGCATAGGTATAGTTCAAACTAGGGTTTTGTAACTCCAATTCCAGGGCTTTCCCCACTCCATATTGCTGCTTGGCAGGCTCCATAGTCCTTCCTGGCAAGAAAACCTGAACCCTCTTCATGCTTCCTCCCCTCAATTACTAGGGAAAAGAGTAGAGAACCAGCGTCAGCAAACAAGCAAGAAGATCAGAGGTGTTTTTACAGGGGAACAAGATGGATTAAGTTAAGGTAGCCAATAAGAGGTGTGTGCTCCAGTAGGGAGTAGGTTTTTTAAAAAAGTTTTTTAAAAAATATTTTAATTTTTTAAAAAAGCTGTAGCCAGCTCTACATGTACACAGCCCAGCAGGGACATTCTGAGTCTTTCATTTTGGTGCAGACAGTATTGAGGAAGACACTGGAGAAGGGACAGACATGATGGTTATTATTTTCCAAGTATCTGTAGAGTTGTCATGTAGAAGAAGGATTCGATTTTTTTCTGCTTGGTCCCAGAAGAAAGAACCAGAAGCAGTTGGTGAAGGTTGCAGGGAAGCAGATTTCAGGTCAATGTAAAGGAAAAATGACTACCAACTAGCATGGTTCAAAAATGGAAAGAGGATGTTAATTCCCCATCATTGGAGGCATTTAGGGGTAGCTAGGTGTCGCCATAGTGCACAGAGTGCCGGGTCTGGAGTCAGGAAGACTCATCTTCCTGAGTTCAAATCTGCTGTCAGACACTTACCAGTTGTGTGACCCTGGGTAACTCACTTAACTCTGTTTCCTTCAGTTTCCTCATCTGTAAAATGAGCTGGAGAAGGAAATGGCAAACCACTCCAGTATCTTTGCCAAGAAAACTCCACATGGAGTCACACATCGTTGGCCACAATTGAAATGACTGAACAACAACCCATCACTTACCAGCCACACCATGAAATAGGAAAACACAGCAATCCAGAGGGTGGAGAAAATGAAGGTGACCATGAAAAACTTCTCCCAGCGCGGCTTGCTGCAGTTTGGGATTGTGGAAAACAGTAGGAATATCAGGGGCCAGGAGAAGATCCATTTTGCTCGGTCCATGGGTGCCTCTACAGAGACAGAAACGAGAGTTTAGAGCTAGAAGCTAAAACTTTGTAGATCACTGAGCCTAACCTCCTCGTGTTACAGATGAGGAGCCTGAGGTCCACAGTGGGCCAGGTACTCCCCCAAGGTCACCAGGGCCACATTGTTCCTTCCATAACCCTATGCTGGCTTTCTCTCATTTTATCTGCCTGTGCCTCCTAGGTGATGAATTCAGGCCAGTGCCTGGCTTCAAAGTGCATGTATATAGATGTAATAGAGCAGAGATGGCTTTGTTAATGACTGAGAGTCAATGTGTATTTGTGCTAACATCTGATCTTGGAAGGACTATTAAAAAAAAACAACCCACCAAAAAAACATAATCACGTGGCCTTTTACCTTTTAACACCTCTAAATTTAAAAAAAAAATAATGACCTAAATATTTCCTATGTTCTGCCTCCCTATCTCCTAAAATTTTACAAAGAATTTAGAGTTGGAAAGGACTTCGAATATCATCTAATTTTTTTTTAACCTGTTTTGGGTTATGGCCCCTTTGGCAGACTGAGCATGTCTCTCTTCTCAGAATAATGTTTTAAAATGCATAAAATAAAATCCACAGGATTACAAAGGAAACTAATTACGTTGAAATAGTTACCAAAATATTAAAAAAAAAATTTAGGGACCCCAAGTAACTTTTCCCTGATCCAACCTCTTCTCTATTTCATTTTGTAGACAAAGAAATTGAGTCCTAGAAAAGCTAAGTGACCCATTCAAGGTAGATGGTAAGTAGTAGGATTCAACCCAGGTTCTCTGTCTCCAAATTCAGTGCTCTTTCCAGGGCAGCATTTATCCTCTTTCTTTATTTCTCCAAATAAAGCCTGCATGAAGAGACACAAAGTCTGAGATAGAATGATCAAGTGGATGGAGTTTTTTGAAAATTATCCAGTCCAAGCTACTACTGTTATGCATAAGGAAACTGACGACCTGAGAGGTGGTCCTTCATCCAAGGTTACCCACGGCCACCTAGGGGACAAGGCTGGCACCTGGGGTCTAGTCCCCTGGTTTCCAAGTTGGTGCTCCTTCTTTTTAGGCTAATTCGTCATGATGAATCATGCAGCAGTTTCATAAAAATGCACAGTAACACCTGTGGTTTCCATCAAATTGTATCAGCTATTCTGAAGGTGGTTTTAAAATGAGGCTCTGCCTACATGGATTACCAGGGTTGGTTTCTCAAACGCCCTAAAATCTGGCCTCACCCTACTTTGCCAACTTTATCACCCACTCCAGTCTAAGAGGATTCCTTTGTTCTCATCATTCCAGCCTGTGCCACTCACCATGCTCCCCTACAGCTACACCTTTGCTCATGTGGCTTCTCAGTTTCCCCAGTCTTGACTTCTTCAGTTCTCTTAGCCAAATCCGACTTTTTTTTTTTCTCCCAGAGGTAATTGGCTTTAGGTGACTTGCCCAGGGTCACACAGCTAGTAAGTGTCTGAGGCTGGATTTGAACATAGGTCTTTCTGATTCCAGGTCCAGTGCTCTATCCACTGTACCTGCTTGGTAGGCCTTGGTTGGCAATAGGGAGCTACTTAAAGATTTTGAGTGGAAGAGTGACATGAACCATGATTAAGAAAGATGAGTCTGGCAGCATATGAAGGATGGATTGGAGGGCAGAGGATTTGGCAAAAACAAAAGAAAACAAAACAAAAAAACCCCCAAAACAAAAACAAACTAAACATACACCTATTAGAAGACTATTGCAGGTGTAGCTGGGTGATGCTGTGAATGGATCATCTGCCTTGGAGTCAGGAGGACCTGAGTTCAAATTCAGCCTTAGACACTACCTAGCTGTGTGACCCAGGGCAAGTCACTTAACCCTGATTGCCTCCAAAGGAAAAAAGGAAAAGAAGACTATTGCAACAACCAAGGGGCTTTGGAAAGAGTGCCTGTCCTAGGCTGTTCCCAATTGGAACCACAGAATCTCAGCACTGGAAGAGGTCACAGATATCACTGAACATAATCTACACATGAATTCCAGGAAGCCCTAACATATGGTCATCTAGCCTCTTCTCCAAAGCCTCCAGAGAAGGGAATCAGTACCTCCTAAGACAGCCAGTTATGTTTTGTGACAGCTCTAATTTTAAGTTTTTCTTTGCACTGAACCCGAATTTGCTTCTCTGAATCTTTCACACATCTATCTGGAGCCAGAAATACAAAGAAGGTGATGGATGGGAGAGACAGAGAGCAAGGATCAGCATGGCACAGTAGTGGGACGTAGTAGTGGGTCAGTTAAGTCAAGAGACCGGAAGTTCTAGCTTGCCTTTGCCACACCTAACTTTGTAATCTTGGGCAAATCATTTCCCTACACTGGGCCTGTGCTGGGGCCTACCCCCCTGGTAATCACTCACTTGCCTACCTCATAGGTACATGACTACAGTGCCTAGAACACAGTAAGAATTTGATAAATGCTTTCTCTTCTCTCTCTCATCCATCTGTCTGTCCGTCTGTCCATTCATCCATCTCCCTCTCTCTATGTATCTATGTATGTATCTATCTATCTCTGTGTATTAAAGTATTGCATAAAAAGCCCTGATTGAATATTAGCCTGTTTGAGAGGTAAGAGTTAAATTAAGTCAGAAATTCAGGCCACAAGAAAAAATGGCACCTTTATTCTTTGTTTTGTCATGAGGCTTGTTAATTTAAGAAGTTAATGGCTACTTGTGTGAAGGATAAAATCCTGGGTTCCAGGGAAAATTCCTAGAGCCTAGCCATCAGAGACAGGTGAGTCAGACTCTGTCTCTGTTTGCTTTTCTCACTCTTTTACCCTCTCAGTCAGTTACAATGCTCAAGGATTTCAAAACGTATGTTTTTGGGTGGAAGTTAACAGATACCACCTATTTCTTCACCAGTCACTGCCCCAGAGAGCCCCTTGGGAAACAGGTTGAGAAATAGGTAAAAACATCACTGACAGATGTCAGAGATGGTTCTCTTCCTGTGCAAAAGGGAAAAGCTAGGGAGCAATCCTAGGGATTGCTAGGTGGTGCAATGGATAGGGTGCTGGGTCTGGAGTCAGGAAGACTCATCTTCCTCAGTTCAAATCCGGCCTCAGATACTTACTAGCTGTGTGATCCTGGGCAAGTCACTTAACCTTGTTTACCTCAGTTTCCTTATCTGTAAAATGAGCTGGAAAAGGAAATGGCAAACTACTCCAGTATCTCTGCCGACAAAACCCCAAATAGGGTCACAAAGAGCAGGACACAACTGAAGACAACTGAACAACAACATAGAACTAAAAGGATTTGAGCTCTGGTCTATTCAATCCCAGGTACTTTGTTCCTTAGCTGCAGAGGGCACAGTGGAGAGAGTGTGGGACTGGAAGTCAGGAAGACCTGAGCTCGAATCCTGCCTCAGGCACTAACTGGCTGTGGGACTCTGGCCAAGTCACTTAACCTCTCTGTACCACAGTTTCCTCATATGTAAAATGGGAATAATAATAGCACCTACCTCACAGGGGAGTTGTGAGAATAAAATGAGTTAACATATATAAAAAGTTCTTTGCAAACTTTAATGTAAATTCTGTACATGGATTTTCTTTTTTCTTTTCTTATTTTGGATACTGATTCAGTCAATTAGAAAGACAGATGCCATTAAGTGTAGGAACCAAAATGCACAGAAAACCTGGGTCGTCTCCTTTTTATTTTAAGGAAAATTCCTATGAATCCATAAAAATTGCACTAAGTCAGGCCTCACTTACCACCCTAAAAAAGACTGGGTGGAGGAGGTGATCCTTAAGGGTCCTTTTTACTGCTAGGGTTCCGTTATCCTCCACTCTTATCTACTAAGTCCTTCATACGTGGTAGCATTTCTAGTTTGTCCTGCTAGACGGCAATCTCCTTGTGGACAAGGATCATGCTGTTCTTTTTTGATCTTCGACAGCAACCTAAAAGAGGACAGGCCACAGGGAAGGCACTGGATAAAAACTTATTCTTAATTAACTGGTTGATATCTGAAAATAAGCAATGGAGATATGTGTTCCTACATCTTACCTGGCTGCTCCTTTTGCTGAGCAAACAGAGGGCTCTTCTTTCAAGTGGAAAATGACAATTTAATTATGTGAAAAATGTTTTTAGATGAGCTGTCATGAAGCAGATGGCTAATCATATTGGAGGGGGAAAAATTAACAACAGATGTAGTTGCCATTTAAAAATTTTAACCAAATTAATTTGGATCGTCAACTAATTAAACACTCCAATTAGGGGGAATGGTTGAATTACTGCACATGGGAATCATTTTGTGATCATTAAAAGTAGAATACAACAGAGCCTTCTAGAATCAGAGAGCTGGTGGGGGCTTTGGAGATCATCTAATCTAATGCCACTATTTCCTCCCATTTTACAGATGAGGAAACTGAGTCTTAGGTGAAGTCAATTGCCCAAGATCACAATTCATATCTCATGACTTCCAGTCAATTGCTTTATTACAATATTTTGTTCTATACTGGAAAAGGCAGGATTTATGAAGATGGGGAAGGCCCTGCTAACCTACACAATATCTCCTCCAACTTTCTGCTGATAAACTTTCTTGTTACAACCTTATTCCTTTGCTTAAGGCTTTAATCTATGTTCATAATGAAATACCAACAAGTTATTTTATGAAACGTAACAAATACAATAATCCATATATTAATAGCCTATTATTAATGTTGTTGAGATGATGTTTCAGTCACATCTGACTCTTCATGACCCCATTTAGGGTTTTCTTGGCAAAGATACTGGAATGGTTTGCCATTTCCTTCTCCAACTCCTTTTACAGATGAGGAAACTGAGGCAAACGACTAAGTTAAGTGACTTGCCCAGGGCCATGCAGCTAATAAGTGTCTAAGTTCAGATCTAACTCAGGTCTTCTCGACTCTAGGGCTGGTGCTCTAGCCCCTGTGCCACCTAGCTGCCCCTGTTACTAATAACATTCCACATTTATGTTAAAGGCTTTAAGATTTATAAAGTGCTTTCCATTAGACTAGGAGCTCCTTGA